TTCCTGAATGCCTTTGGTGAGCCAGGAACTCTAGCCTCAATGCTATTCCATTTGGGGTCAAAGTTACATAATCAAAGCTTGTATATCAGGCTCACCTTTCAGAGTTTGGGTTGAGTCCCAGGCTTGAGATCCTGCTGTTTTGATTGATGGAGCCCATCGACCAATCAGGAGGCAGCAGGAGGAAAAGTCATACCCCTTTCCTGAGGGGAGGGGGAGAAGAGCTCCCTTGGACCTGATTGAAGACTGTAAACTGTCAGGTCCGGAAGACTTCAGGAGCGGAGCCCTGGAGCGTATAAAAGGAGCTGCATGCCCAGCATGAGGGGCAGGTGCAGTGAAGGACTCAAGAAGAGCGGAGCCAAGAAAAGCTGGGGAGCTCTCTGCCAGCAGGCAATAGGCCCAAGGCTCCTGAAGCTGCCACTGGAGGAGACCACTTGGGCTGTTGACGGTGCACAGGGACGGTGCGAGGAGACCCAGCCTTGCGAGCAGTGTGAGACTGCTTGAGCCCATCACAGTGCACAGTTCGGTCCATGGAGCCCAGGCTTTGGAGCTGCCTGCGGCAGCTTGTACCTGCAACTCCGGCAGGGCCTTGGGGGCCGCAGTGAGGCAGCTCAGGCCCCATATCCCTACAAGCAGTCAGGTTTCACAATGTGCAGGGCGGCACACAGGCCCGAGCCTTGGGAGCCAGGGAGCAGCGGAGGCTGCTTGGGTTGGCCACCAGGTGTGAAGATGACTGGCCAGAGCCTGAAGGGTCCAGGCTGTGCTAAGAGCGCCCTCAGTGCCGAGCCAGGGCACAGGGAAATAGTCGTGCTGCAGCATAAGGCCCAACACCCAGGAGCCAGCAGCAGTAGTGCAGCAGCTGAGAGGAGCTGAGCCCTTGGTACCCAGAGCAGGGCACAGGGTGGAGAGGAGCCCAGCAACACAGGAGAGGCCTGGAGAGGCGCTCCAGCAGAGGAGACCCCATCGAGCTGTGCTTTGACCGCTGCCTCCTGAGGAAGCGTGAGTCATTGGGCCCTGGGGTCCCACAGGGGAAAGACATTTGGGGCGGGTAAACCCAGAGAAGGGGCTGGGTGAGCAGGCCCCCACCTAGTCAAGGCCCTAAGGGGAGGGGCCCCTGGTGCTTCCTGAACACCCCATACAGTTCCCCATTGGAAGGAGGACTATCTCTTGCCATGGGTCAGGGATTATATTAAGGAATAGATGTTATTAAGATTGTTCATGTTTGCGCCTTATATTTTGTAATTGAAATGTTGTATTGTGATGTTGTAAATAGTGTTATTTAGGGTTTGACCTTGGTTATTGGTTAGTGTTCTCTGTGTAAATAAATAAATAAATAAATATATGATGTGACCTTGGTTATTGTTCTGTGTGTGTGTGTGTATGTTTGTGTGTGTATGATATTTAGTTTTATGTTTATGTATATTATACCTTAATAAACTGTATATAGTTAAGAACTTTGGGCTTGGGCTAACTCTATAGAGGAAAGAGGGATCTGCTTGATATTCTGGCATCCTTCTCACAGCACCCTCTCCTGCCTACCCATCCTATTCAACTGAGACTAGGGCACACCCTTGGGTGTACCTGGGTTACACTTGCTTTGATCATTAGAGGATCATGAAGATGAAACTGCAGCAACAGTTACAGTTGAACTAGGGGGTGGTTTCCCCTCCTGTGTTAAAGTGTCTAAATATTAATTTGTCTATATCCTGAGTTCATCTGCAAATCAAAGATCACTTCCCCCCAGTGAAACTCCTGCCTGACCTTCATAGCTCCAGTGACTTTTTTATTGTGCTTTGTCAGAAAACCAAGGTTTGAAATCCTGTTTCCTCTCCTCTGTCCTTTGTAGTATCTGTTTACTTTTGAGGTGTTTCACAATAGGAAACCATAAAAATATGACTCCTGTGGACAGAATGAGAGAACATTCTCTATGCAGAGTCAGAGATAACACCTGATAGTTTTTCTAATGCCCTAGTTAATAATTACCTAGGGAATATGCATTGTTTAAATAATTGTGACTAGTTTCCCTCAAGACTTCTGTTTTCTGTGTCAGAGAACAGAGCATAGAACGTCCCCTGAGAGTTTTTCTAAAGGACTACAGCATAAATAAAGAAGACTTTTCTGTAATTTTGGTCACTTTCATTGCTTTTAAAAATGGCAGGTGTGAGCAGCTGTATGAAATACTCCATGTTTGTCTTCAACTTTTTGTTTTGGGTAAGTTGAATTTTAAATTATAAGTGGCATATAGAACAGAGTCAGAATTATTCAGGGGCTATAACAATATAAATTATAAAAAGCAATAAGATGTAAGTGGAATGAGTATACAATTACAGGTCCAGTGGGGAGGAAAAATAGAGTTAACTTCTGTTAATTGGCAATGTTTCTATAGTCTCTTGTTCTGTTTCATAATAGATGATGAGTAACCATCTCCATTTCCTGTACATCCACATTTTGAAAGGCTTAGGCCTTGTTACTCCATATCTCAACTGTCTCATTTCAAGGGACATCACTCATTTTGGTTATCTATATGCAACATTAATGTGAAGTCTTCCTGCTTTACTGTTGTAAATTATTTTTGTCAAAAGTGTAGAATCCTCAAAGTGAGGGATGTGGAAAAAATGTCAGTCTGTTGAAATTCAAACATAAGACTTGGTGTATGACAAAAAGCCAAAATGAGTAACAGAAAAGCCTTATTCATGAAGGAGATTCAATAAATAGTGACAAGTGTGTTGCTAAAGTGGTATAGATTTGAGGTAATAACACTGAGGTGAATTGTGAAAACATAAAAAAAGATTGGAACATGGCCTAGTTTAGAAAAACAGTGTGAAGCCTTCTGATTTTTTGTTCAAAACACATTTGCAAACTTATTGTGTTGTAACTAGTTCATAAGACTTTGCAGATCCCACAGTTCTGGAAAGGTGAGAGAAAAAATACTTTTCTCATGTTTCTTTCTTGTTGTCAACCCTCGGGCAAGACATTTGTTGGATTCTCAAAAGGTTCACTGAAACCATAAGCCGAATTAGTAACCATACCATATGACTTGCCCCAGAAGACTTTTCCTAGTGAAAAGATGACAAATAAAAGGAACCACAGACACTAGCATCAGAAAGTGTGTGACTAAGTCAGACAGAACAAGAGAAATTGCAGAAGTCTTTAATAGTTTATGGGTTTCATAAATAAACGTCTAATGATCCAGTCTTGGTTTGTCTCAGTCCCAGCCAAGGTCGTATTTCAATATGTGTTAAAGTTTGAGCTGAATTTTTGGCACAATAACACTTAAAAGGGCACGAAAACACACTATTTGGAAATCCTGCTCCACAAAATGTATATTTCTGTGTGTATTTTAAATATTTTGCTCTATATTGTGAGCAAATCTCAAAGGCTGGTGTTAAGAAAGTCTAACATACTAACTGTGGCCTGTGCGTGTAAAGCATGGCCTATTGGAGACTCCATGAAAGTACTTCAAGCTAGTTTCAGCTGGATTTCCCTTGTAGGACAAAAGAAGCTGCCTCTGAGAGAGCCATAAAGAATCAGGAAGCAATCAGGCCTGAAGTGACTTCCTAACTCTGTGAATTCGCCAGTGGGAAAGCCAACCTCTGTCTTTGTGTGCATTACAGGAGATGATAAGAGTATTCTTGTGCATACTTGTTGTAAAGATTTGAATCAGATCTCACATTTCCCAGATGAGTGTCCTAACAGGTCCTGCCAAAGGAGTGCAGTGGGTGTTCGTGGTTAACTTTCATTCAATTGCAAAATAGTTAGAGCCAGAGCTGACCTGAGCAGGGTGCAGGGCCCAAGGCAAATCAGTCCATGAGGGGCCCCACCCCCATTCTGATCCCACAGGCCCTGGACTGAAGAAGCTGCCACTGCCATTGGCAGTGGCAGAAGCAGCAGTGGGGCGGGGGTGGGGGGTAGCGAGCAGCTGGACACAGAGCAGCACACACTGCTCTGCCCAGCTCCATGCCACTGCTGCTCCATCCTGCTCCACAGGGTCCCACAAAGTGCAGGGTCCGGGGCAGTTGCCCCGATTTGCCCCCACTAGGGATGGTCCTGGTTAGAGCCTTCACCTAGATTTATAAGAGGTTGTTTCTTGAAGGAGTTGAACCAACATCCCCTAGGACCTATCCACTCTATGAAAGGGCATTGGGAGAGATGGTTCAATCACCTCTGCTCAAGTAGTTCTACTGTGCACGGATTAATTAGACATGTAATATACTCATAGGCCTGAGAGAGCACAAGTAAACCAGGGCTCATGTAGAAGGGGAGACCTGGGCTCCAGTTTCTGCTTTATGATTTGTTTAAATTTACTTAAGATCAGGGGCCACGGTGGGTTGGCTGTCAGTCCACAGCATGGTCAGCTGCCAGACCAGAAGTGACCGTGGACTGGCAAACCCCATCCCCCCAGAGCCGAGCAGAGAGGCTGCAGCTCCTTCTGCAGGGCCTGTGGCAGCACAGAGTTTGGCGCACCCTCCAACCCAGGTGGTAGGGGTAGCCTTACCTGTCTGCCAGCCAGAAATTCCAGCTGTGGTCAGCTGTGACTGCTGGGCCATGGTTTGCCAGGCCACGGCCACTTCCATACCTGGTTTGCTGGGCTGTGGCATAAAACCTTTGAGAACCCCTGCTTTAAATGCTTTATCATGAAACTGGGACCAGCTACCCGGATCAAGGACAACAAGAAGTCCTTTTTTAAATACATAGGGGGTAAAAAGAAGGTACCAGGTAATGTGGGGCCTCTGCAAGGCACACTAGGAAATTTGGTCATTGCTCCAGATGACAAAGCTAACCTATTTAACAATTTCTTTGCCTCAATTTTTCTGAGCAGGGACCGGGTCACCCCCCACACCGGGACCCCCGTAGGCCCCAGGGGAGGTGCACCCAGGCCTAGGGTCAGTGAGGATCTAGTCAGGGAACTTCTGGAGGGACTGGACATATTGAAATCAGCTGGTCCTGATGATCTCCACCCCAGAATGCTGAGGGAACTAACAGAGGTTAGTTTCTTTAGGACTCTCAACCTAAAGAAAGGAGGTTACCAGAAACCAGATTGTTACAGGAAGTATTGGACTCTGGTTAATGACTTGCACCTAAAACAGTCCTGCTACCTCTTGTCAGTGCATGTTGGAAAGCCCTCTGTTACCTGTCAAGCTGTTTGGAATTTTCTGCAGAACATTTTTCTATTGGAAAATATAAGTAAATAGAAAACAAAATATTTCTTGGAAATGCATTGATTTAATTGCAATTTTATGTTGCAAAGAATAATCAAAATGAAGCATTTCTATTGATCAAAGCATTCTGTTTTGATCCTTTTGGAAAATAATGTTTAGACCAGTGGTTTTCAACCTCTTCATACTCAATGCACCCCTTGATAGACTCAAGGCATCCTTCAGAAAATATCAGCTCTTTGTTTTTCACTGACTTTTGACTACAGAAAAATAATAGAGCAGTTTTGTTGCTAAGAACTCAGAAAGACCAAAATGGGCCAGAATGCTCTTAACATTATGGATTCCTATGTGAAATCTCAGGGTTTATCATGTTCATCATGTTTGCACACCTAACTGTGTTAACTTTGTGTGACACTCCACAGCACTCCTGAAAGGATCTCATGACACCCTGGATAAGAATCACTGATTTTAACTTTTCATTTTAATGCAACATTTCAAATGAGAAAAAATCAAATATATCGTAGAATAAAAAATAGATGATAGTGAAAGGAAACATTTTGGTCCAGAATAATTTTTTTCAGGTAATTTCTGGTAATTTCTGTTTTAGAATGGAAAAATACAAAACGACAAAAGTACTCATGAAAAAGACAATCTGTTTACATCCACTCCTAAACATTTGCTTTATTACTCAGTTTTCTTTAAAGTAATTATAAAATTAATATCAGAGTAGACAAAATTCTCTTCACAAGTATAGTTTCATTTACTTTTGGCTTGAAGCCTGTGGGGTTTGTATATGATCAGATATTTTACTCAGTGGCACTGAACAAAACCAGCATGGGACCATACAATATATCAGTTGCTAAGCAAAAATCCCCATTGATTTCACTGGTAGTTCTGGTTAAAATTTGCTAACATGATATAGCTGTGGTCAATAATGCAGCTTTTTGTGATGACTATTTTTTGTAATGTACTTACAAGAGCTTTACTTAGCACTAAAAAAAGCGTAGTGCTCATGTTTGAGTTTTGGCCATGTTCCATATTAAATAATCTGCTTCACTCATTATGGGATTTCAGGCTGAGTGTTGCACCAGGTAGTTTAGTGGGCGAAGTTTTTGTAAGTAAAATTGCACAAAAAGAATAACAAATTAATTTTTGAATGTCCATGAGTTGACAGTCTTCTTGAAAAGGCCATATAAGCAAAAATTAGGATCATTCTACTACCCTAATAGCAGTTGAGTACTAATTGCATACTGCACAATAGTTCTGAACTTGAGAAAGAGTGGCAATGTATAGCTCTTATTCCTCTCAAGTCCTTTCCCACCAGCCCTTACTCTTCCAGTAGGGTGCTGTTCTTTAGGTCTGGTTATTCAAAGAAAACATGTAACTATCTTTTAAACAGTAAAAGGAGACCTGGTCCCTTTGACTATCTGTCAATCATTCATCCAGACAATCTGAGGGTGATACTTTATGGCAGTTCTGTGAGGCTGGTTTGGATAAAATATTTCAACTATCTGCAGTTTGATACTGTGCACCCTGTCTGATATACAAAACTGCTATTATTCCAGGAACTTTGGATCTCACCAAGATTGCATGTAGTCATTGTAGTGATTCAAACACTGCAACATTTAAAAAAAACCTTGTGGATGAATGCACTTAGGGCCAGATCCTGAATTCCTGCTCAGATTTTGGTCTGTCTCCACTTAAACTCCTTCTCAGGGCAGAAGGCATTTATGGGGTAATTCCATCACTTTGCCAGACAGTTTCAGCAAAAGATTTAGTCTGACTTAGAAAAGGAAAGAACAGTGCATTCCTATTCCTATCTACCACCAACAGAAAGGCACTAATTCATCAAGGGGAAGGAGTGGATTAGTGCCTTCCTGGTGGTGGTAGATGGATAATAATCCCGTCTGGTTTCACAGTACTTCTTTTGAAAAGAACGTGCAGTCTGGGAGGTCCATCCATCCATCTATGGGGATACTGTTCTCAAACGAATCCCTGGCACGGCAGTTTGGAGACACATTACCAAGGACCAAGGGGAAGAGAAGTGTTTCAGCACCTTCTTGTAGGTGGTCATTGACTCCTGAAGGTTAGCTAAGTTCCACGCAGGCCCTTACGATCCTCCAGACTTGCATAAAAGATTGTTTCTCTGCCTTGCAAAGGTCAGTAAGAACGCTATGTGAGGATCCTCACAAATATAGTTGGCAACAGAATGATTCAGCAGCAATACATGAGGAACATCACCCAGCACCTGGATCTTTTATTTTTTTTACAAGAGGAAGTAAGGTGTAATTTCTTGGTCACCAATCACTGGTTCACAGGTAACGTATTCCCCATGAGACCCATCCAATGTAATCAGAAAATGAAAAAATTAAAACTGCTGCCTCTGAAGTTGAGGTGAACATAGAGAGTAGAATATGATGTTGCTTGCAATGCAGTACTTGCTTTATATTGTTCCCCATGCTTTTATGAAGATTGTAGGCTCTAGCGATTAAAGTACTTGCCTAGAATTTGGAAACCCGGTTTCCAGATTTTTCTCTAGCATAGACATTCTGTGTCACTTTAAGTGTGACTTTAAGTGTGTCCCCCCCATGCGGGACCACTGGCACAGCTTTACCAGCACTCGTGATACTCTGGCAAGGTGCCAGAGGACTGAAAAAGGGCCAATGTGGTCCCCATTTTCAAAAAAGGGAGGAAAGAAGATGCAGGAAACTATAGGCCTGTTAGTCTTACTTTGGTCCTGGGAAAGCTCTTTGAGAAAATTATCCAAGAGCACATCTGCGAGGAACCAGCAGGGTAGATTATGCTCAGGGGCAATCAACACGGGTTCATTAGAGGCAGGTCCCTTCTGACCAACTTATTTGTGTTCCATGACCAGGTCACAAAATCCTTGGACGTAGGTGTTGCGGTGGATGTAGTCTTTCTGGACTTTAGGAAAGCCTTTAACACTGTCTCTCATCCCATTCTCCTTAAAAAATTAGGCGACTGTGGTGTCAATGCCTACGCAGTCAGATGGGTCACTAATTGGCTGGAGGGCCGCAGAGAGTGTGGTGGACGGATCATATTCGACCTGGAGGGATGTGGGCAGTGGTGTTCCCCAGGGCTCGGTCCTTGGGCCTGCGCTGTTCAACATCTTCATCAGTGACTTGGACGAGGGGGTGAAAAGCACCTTGTTCAAGTTCACAGATGACACTAAGATGGGGGCAGAGGTGGGCACACTAGAAGAGAGGGACAGGCTACAACTAGATCTCAACAGGTTACAGGGGTGGGCGGATGAGTATAAGATGAGATTCAATACTGACAAGTGCAAGGTAATGCACCTAGGGACAAAGAACCAGCAATGCACCTACAGGCTGGGAACTCCCTTCTTGTCAGCACAGAGGCAGAAAAGGATCTTGGAGTCATTATTGATTCCAAGATGAACATGGACCAGCAATGTGGGGACATGGTCAGGAAGGCTAACCACACCTTGTCATGCATCCACAGATGCGTCACAAGCAGGTCCAAGGAGGTGATCCTCCCTCTCTATGCGACATTGGTCAGGCCGCACTTGGAGTACCGCGTCCAGTTCTGGGCACCGCACTTCAGGAGGGATGTGGACAGCATTGAGAGGGTCCAGAGGAGGGCCACTCTCATGATCGAGGTCAGCAGGGCAGGCCCTACGAGGAGAGGCTACAAGACCTGAACCTGTTCAGCCTCCACAAGAGAAAGCTGAGAGGGGATCTGGTGGCCATCTGTAAACTTGCCAAGAGAGACCAGCAGGCAATGGGATAGTCCCTGTTCCCCCAAGCACTACTGGGAGTAACAAGGAATAACAGCCATAAGTTGATGGAGAGTAGATTCAGGCTAGACATCAAGAAGCACTACTTCACAGTCAGGGCGGCTAGGATCTGGAACTAACTTCCAAGGGAAGTGGTGCTTGCTCCTACCCTGGGGATCTTGAAAAGGAGGCTAGATAGACACCTTGCCGGGGTCATTTGACCCTAGCATTCTTTTCTGCCCATGGCAGGGGGTCAGACTGGATGATCTGCTCAGGTCCCTTCTGATCCTAGCATCTATGAAACTATGAAAATATTAACTTCTCTGTAAACAGTGAAATGGGATTATATAGCTTCCTTAGTTTACCAGCTATTTGTAAGGATGAATACATGAAAAAGGCTCTGAGCCCCTACAGCAATTGGAATGATATCAGTATCATAGCTAGATCTCCTCCTGTGGCTTTCACTAGGGGAGTAGGAAATTCTAGAGATTTACTGTTCTCAGGGTAAGAAAATTATATGAGAAAAAAAAGAAAATTTCCACCCAGTTCTGCATTTGAAATTTCAAGTATCCTATTGCTGTGAGATGTACAGCAATGTTCCTTGTAGTTATGGCATATATTATTCTCTCTACATATGATAAAGATTTATATCAGCCATCTCATCCCACAGATTCCCAAGCTACATACATAAATCATCACAGAAATGTGAGTTTCTCTGGCAGTTAGGATTTAACTATCCATATGAGGCTTTCTGGCTGTGAATCTGGGTCCTGGATTGCTTTCATTGATGCTTCCATCACTTTGCCAGACAGTTTCAACAGTTTTGCAGGCATCTGGTACAGTTTGATATTGAACTTTATTTTGAGACTGTTGATCTGTTTTCTCTTTCCCCATAGGTGTGTGGCTGTATTATTTTGGGTGTCTCCATATGGATACGTGTAAGCAAAGATGCTCAGGAGGTAACTATATTCTGCCCTACAACACCTCTCTTTTTTTCCTCACCATGAAAATGCCAAAGCACTGCGTCAGCCATAGAGACACTCTTTTTCTGCTTTTGTCTCCCAGACTCTTCAGTCCAGTCAATGAGGTGATTTCTGTGTCTGCAGAGTAACCAAGTTATGATTTATAAAATTACGCTAGAAGGATCAATGCAGGTGGTCAGGAATAATGAATACAACTATTTTAGAGCTGACTGCATATTACATTTCTTTTGGTGGTACTGTTTTATAGTTTTCCAGGGTTTGGGACAAAGCCACTTTAAGTTCATTTGTAAAAATCATGGTCCTGTTCTTGTTCCCACTGAAGTAAATGAGTTGTGACACTGATTTTAATTTTACAGAATGATCAGGACCTAGATAACTACTAGACTCTTTTAAGATCAGATCATTGTTTGAAGAAGGTGTTTTTCAGAAAGAGAGTTAATTATACTCAAGGACACTTGCATTTTTTCCAATGGATACTTGTTCTAATTCCTCTTTAGCAGTACAGTAGTTTATTTCATTAGAAATTTTAGCTTTTACATAAAGCATAAATTATTTCCTTTGTTTCTAAAAGAACTTTAAAAATATGCATGTCCCAGGATTGGCATATACAGTAAAATCTTTGTTATCCAGCATTTAAGTAACCAGAAATTCTATTAACTGGAACTTCCGGTTCGGCTGGAGCTCGCACATAATTGCCACTGCTTTCACCCACCACCTGTGCTGCTGTTTCTCCACATGTAGCTGCTGCCACCCCCCGCTCCATGTGCAGCCTCCCCCTCTCCCCTGCTCTGCATTTTCAGAAAAACCCTGCTGGGTTATTTCAGATAACTGGGATTTTTACATAACCAGCAATCCCCTTACTCTGGGGATGCCAGATAACAAAGATTTTACAGTATATGCATTGCCCTTCTATTTAGGGTTTAGTGAGAGGCTAAATGCACTGCTGCTTTTTTATCATTGATTCAATGATACAATCTTGGGACTTCTGTTCAGGTGCACTTGGTGATGCCCTGGGACAAACTGTTAGCAATTTTTATCCTATGAACCTCTTTAGGGTTTGTTTTGAGACAATGGACACAGACATCTGAACCATTGTATTGTCTTGGATTAAAATAATTTTTTTCAGGAAATATGTGACATCTGTTTGTAACCTCAGCTCAACTAGCATCGTTCTCATGGGGGCTCTGCCACTTGCCTATAGAGATGCTAGTTCCAGAGAGAGGATGGGTTCACTGATGAAAAGCTGATACATACTCTCTACATTTCTCTATTTGACTACATACCATAAGAAGGTGAAAAATGTTTCAGTAACACAACTCTGTTCATTCATACATGGTCTTGGGCCATGGGGAAATGAATAACTTTGAAAATTTATGTAAGCCACTTTGTTCTCAAAATGATTCCTGGCTCTGGAAGTAAAACATGGTTGTCCATGCCATGGAAATATATATTTTTGCAGTGTCTCTGTTGATCCTGTGGGGCTTATTAAGCACCAATGCTTCTGATTACCATTCTGTTGCCATACCATGAGACAGGGCACATTTCTTACTAGTCAAAGGAGATTATGGCTTTGATCTATATTTTTCCCCATAAAAAACAAAACAAAACAAAAAAACAACCCCCCCGGTCTTTAGTTTGATAGATTTTCTATCACTGGGTGATGTCTGTGCAGTATCAAATCAGTCTCAGAGTGAATTCTCCACTTTTACCAGCGGATATAAAGACCTGAAAGAATTAACTAGCAACTTATAATGGAGATTCCTTAGGTATATAAATTCTGCCCATAATTTGTATATATTCCCTTGGTGGTAAGGACATGGGAATATGTCCCTACCTTTGACCTTCTTTTTTACATAAAAATGTTGAAGTTTTGTCTCATTTTATAGAGACTCAAGTTGTCACACTTGCTTAGTTGGCTGATTGCTTCCTCAGATGATCTTCCATAGCTGGGGGCACAATAACTATAACCACGTTCTATAAGGTCTTGACTCAGGAAAACATTTATACTTAGGAATTAAAGCACGTGCTGACCTGTTTCTCTGAATTGAACATCTAGTTTGAAGCAGCGAAATATTTTTAGCTGGTCTTTTAGAAATAAAATTTGGAGACAGATCTTGATGTCCTTACCTACTTTTTACAGTTTTCATTCAGGCAAAGCTCCTGTTCAGGGTCCATGTATAATCTGCCTGAGCGATAACTGAGCAAGGACTTCAGGACTTGGTGCTAGATGAATAGAATTCTCTAAGAGTAAAGATCAAGAGATTTGGTTCAACTTGGAAAAGGAAGGAACAGTGCATTCCTGTATTGTCTATATACCTTTGCTATTTCCATCAGAAGATAAATGGGACCCCTTCCAGACTTTCGTACTAATCTTGCCAACAGCCACATAGGAAAATATTCTTTGAAGATTTTTCTCAGTTTGGGCTAAGGCCGTACTCATGCCCTTGGGAACTGAATAATTTGCTATAATTATGTTGAACTCTAGCAATTGCTTGGTTAAATATCATATACATGAAAACGCAGACCTCATCCCTTAGGATAGTACTGGAGGACCAGCTTAAAAAAAAATCAGCTTTGGAAATATACCCTATGTTTCTTTCCAGTGCATCCAATTCTATTCTGAAGAGCGCTGTCATAGGAGCAGTAGTAGAATGCACTTATGGGTCACAACAAAGAGCTTTCTTTCACCATTAGATTAATATGAACATGGAAGAATTTTTCCAGATGATCAATTTTGCTACTCACACTAAAAACAAAGCTTCACTGGCTGAAAACAGAATGAATAATAGTTTTAAGACAGGAGATATTTGTTTATTCACTGAGGGTGAAATTGACCCTGTGTAGAAGGTCAGAACAAAGGCAATGACCCACTGAAACCTTCAAAATATGGCTTATTTGAGGACTTTTGCATGAGGGAGAATAGTACCTTGATTGCTTTATTTATATGCATCATTATGCACATTTCTTTCATTTGCCTTTTCCTTGAATACAAATTCACTGTCTCTTTTGGGGAAGATTAGGTTATCTAATAATTTTCTCTCTCTCTTTTATTTATTTATTTATTTTTGAAAGGGTTTTCTGATACCTGAGTTTTTGTGTCTCTCTTCACAGGATCTCAATATAGATAATAGCCTCTTTGCAGGTGTCGATCTGCTAATAGCAGTGGGCTCCATCATTATGGTCCTTGGTTTCCTGGGCTGCTGTGGTGCTGTAAAGGAAAGCCAGTGCATGTTGCTCTTGGTAGGTGCACAGAAAGGAAGACCTTCCTCTCAGATTTTCAAGCCAAAGTCAGTCAGTGAAAAAGTGCCTTGCAAATTATGCTGATTGTAGCTTGGGGTACATTTGTTTGATCAAATGATTGTGACATGGGCTGTGTACACACAATAAAATAATATGGGAGAATTCTTCCAGTTTTGTTCTCCTGGTACAGAAACTTACACAGAGTCACATGTAGAGATATTTGAATGCTGATGCTCTGAATAGCAGAGACTTTGCAATGCTGACTCTGTACAGCCAGGAGCTCTTCCTGTGCACACATCTCAGCGTGCTCTGCAGGCTCCCTCTGCCTGCCTGGTGACAGATGGTAGCACTGCACAGGGCAACCCTGATTGGCTGCCCCAGACTGCCCATAGTCAGCCTGTGTTTCCCTCCAGTACAATGTAGGGATTGTGAAGGGGGCATGTTCTGCTCCTTGCAGGAGCAGCAAAGGTCAGCAAGTGATATACTGTTTCCAGGGGGGGGCGGGGGGGATGCTGGAGGACTGTTCTCTTCTGAGAGATGCCCAGCATGTAGAGATTTTGCTCTTCCAGGAGCACTCTTATGGGAGTGACAACATCTATAGCCTTGTGAAATTGAATGTCTGTATGTGACCTAAGTGTTTCCTGTACTCTAGCTCTGTCTCTCACACACACAGAGTGGTGCCTTTCCCTGTATCACTGTCTGAAAAGGCAGCTCCCATAAGTAAGTTCAGGGGTTAGGGTTGGGTTCCCAAATATTGAACACAGCATTTTTGAGACATGACCATTTAAAGAAAAACAGTTTGGGGAAAGTTCCCTAACTTTTTTAGCAATGTCATATCTAGCAATGTCGTATTATCCACTGGAACCTTACAGCTACTCAGTGGCCTCCCACAAAAGCAGTCCTTTGTGGTTTTCTTTATGCTGGGCCCCAGCACGGAAGAAGTTGGTGGCAGCAACCAACAGCATAACTAAGGGTGAGTGAAAGAGGCACCAGCCCCAGGTGCCAAGTTAGGAAGAGGTGCCAAAATCACTCCCTCACAGGCCATGTCCACATTAATGTGGACATTTATTTCCCCAGGAAGAAGAAGGAGTGGCTCACCTAGTGCCTCTGCTACTTGTCCCTGGGGAACACCTGTGCCACGTATACTCTGGCATGCAGCAGTTTAGCCCAGGGGAGGCAGGGGAGGCTGGGGCCAGCACTGGACTGGCCCCAGCAGCTTTACGTGGAGTTCTGGGAGCCTTCTGGGGCTGCAGCAGCAGTGATTTGCTGCTTGGTGCCTGGTTGGCAGCCAGAGTGTGGCTCTAGATGGCCAGGTTTCTATTTTGGGCAGCACATGCTGCCCCTTTGTGTAGTGCTCACATTTTTTTTGACCCTGGGATCTCCCAGGGTCAAACCCCTCCTTATCCCTCCATGCTGCTACCTTGCAGTGCAGAGAACAGCTGATTGTGTTGATATGGTGCTGCAGATATATCTGCAGCAGTATACACCTCATGGCCATGCTTGTCTGTCCACAGAGTCCATGCCCTGAGAACATTGTAATGCCAGGAACTCTGAAACAGTCCCTGGCTACTGCTGCTGCCACTGTTAAAGGCAACAGCTGGGGCAGGCACAGCATGTGGGGTAGCAGCAGCGGCTCAGCTGGGGACTGTTTGGATGTTCCCAGCATGGGTAAGACTGCTGCCCTCCCCTCCTGCTCTCAGAACCAAGGTGCTGTGTCCCCCCCTGCCATGAACTGTATGCCCCTCCCCACAGGGTTTGCCTTTGGCATCAACTCTGCTTATTATACCACTCTCAGCAACAGTGGGAACAAAAGGTAAAAGGACCCAGTACTGGGTCCACATAGTCTTTCTCCAGTCCCCAACTTCCTTCTCAACCAACTCACATCATCTTGTTTCTGTCAGGTTTCTTCCATCTTCCCATACCCTAACCAGCCAAATGGCTTGCCCCCCAGGTAAGCCCCAGCCATAGTTTCTCCACAACTTGCCCAACCTTTGTAGGTGGACAGTGTATTAATCACAAACTGAGGTATATATGGGGGGGGTGCAAATATGCAGATTAGATATTTAAACCATTTGCCATACATGATGCCACGCAAAACATTTCTGCTAGGGAGATAAGCAACATATACTATGTCCATGGTGGGACCAGAGGATGCAGTTCCCATATGAATTTAGCAGCCCTAGGAGATATTGTATCTGCCAGAGACTCAAAATCTCCTGGTGTTCCATATAGGATGAGGCACATTCACAGCACCATCTAAGTGGGCCAAGAGCATTAGCACACAGGAAAAAGATAAACTGGGCATGCCTACATGTTCATTAATGTACCATAATTACAGTGCATTAAGTTCAGTACCTGTAATAACAGGTACTAATTTAATGCACCTTAATCAGCACTACTGTGCATTAGTGCAAATGAACACTTTTTGTGTGACGCTTAATGCCCATTGGATTACTCTATTGCACATTAGCAAAGTTTTTGCCAGCTGCACTAATGTGCAGTAGAATTAGTGTAATGGGCATTAAGCATCTCATGTAGACACACCCACTCTGTCCCAGAGTCAGGATGAATCATCTGATCAGCTCTAATCAGATGTAAATTTACTATACCAGTTTCTATTCATGTACATGATAGCTTGTGACCAGAGACTAGACTAAATAGTCTTTTGCTGGTAAATATACTAATTTTTCTTTTTTGCTTTTCTCCTAGTTCTTTATTGGACTGCTTTTGATCCTGATCCTTCAGATCACAGCAGGTATTTTGGGAGCAGTGTATAGATCTAAGGTATTGTTTGGTTCTACTCATTCAATGAATTCTTCCCAAAAGTTTAGCTTTACAGTATAGATTAATATTATGATATTATTTGGATTTCCAGATTGATGTGGTTGTTAACCAGACCCTGTTGGAAACAACAAAGCAGTTGCAAAGTACTGAACAACAGTATCAAACATTTCAAATGAACTTCCAGAAGTTTGAGCAAGAGGTAATTAAAATGCGATAAAGGGCAGGGGTTGTTTTTATCCATCCAGTTAATAGCATTTGTTGCAGTACTAATCCCTGTTTTATGACTTTACTGCCACTGAATTGAGTGTCATCTTGGAAGAGGCATGGAATGACACAAATGCCGTAGAACTGTTGATTTCCTTCTGTGCCATGAAGTTCTTCTCTGTAGTGATTATGGGGCAGAAATGTATGTATGAACTAAAGGTAAGGGTTCCGTAAATCTGCTGTGCGTTCACATATGCCTTCCTCTCCCTCTGCTTAGGGCCTCTCTCACTTCAAACCTCAGTGAATTATTTTTATTAATTATGGCATGTCCTTTATGATCTGAAAGTCTTTTTTAAGGGGAACATTTTTTGGATGTTTGATATCTGTATGTTTATACCTCTCATGTTATTATCACAGCACATGGCTGGACATATCATTTTTGATATATGAGCATTTAAAGAAAAGTGGCTTGGGAAAGTAACCTAACTTTTTTAGCAATATCATATCATGTGTGTGGAAACTCCAGGTTTCTTTTATCTGTTGGTTTTTACTGACAGCTTATGCATTGGACTGTACTTTAGAAGATTGGAAGATTAATTCTGAAGTTATTAGCTATTAATATTTAAACTTCAAAGCTCTATATAAAGTTTGTAAATCCTCTAAGGGTCTTGTGAATTTACAAAGGCTAGAGGTTATGTAGGTAATCTCCATAAATAAAATGTCCTAGTTCAAAGAATTTAAATTTCATTTGTTTGAACTCCATAACCCAGTAAGTTTATTTCATTGGTTGTAAATTCTTTGGTGTGCTTACAGAAATTGTCAGCTTTTTAAACCAAACAGTGTGACATGAAGTTTCACAAAACTACCCTGTAACAACATCAGGCCCCAGGGCTGGCCGTGACACCTCCTGGTAACTGTGCAGCTCCTGCACCTGTTCTGGCTCCCTGGGTCTCCTTCCTTCCTCCTTTCCTGCTACACCTTATTGTAGTTAGTTAATTGATGGAAATGTGCAGGTCCCATGGGGAGGCATCATCCATGCTCCTGGACCTCACTGCTCTCAAACCAGCCCCTCAGGCACTAGGTGGCCCCCCTAACCCATCAGTGCTCCAGCATATTAATCACCTTAAGGGCTATTTCCATGATCTCTGACCTCCCCTACAACCACACCTATGTCTCACATGTGTTAGTAGTCATCACTCAGGTGGAACACTTTGCCCCAAATCAATATCAGGCCATCTCAAGCCTCTGTTCCCTTGTCAGGACCTTGGCTTTTATGGTCGACCACCCGTTTTCTCTAGCTGGACCGTCTTGCCTCAGCCCACTACACTGGGCCAGGCTTCTAGGCTCCAGCCCTCAATCTGACTTCCACCTATCCTGGATTTCCAGGCTTTGGTTCTGGCCCTCTTGGCCTCAAGCCTGCTGTCACCCCTCTCTCAGGCTTGTGCTCTGGCCCTCTTGGCCTCAGGCCCACTATTGCTCCCCTTTGGACTCATGGTCCAGTTCTCTAGGCCTGCTATCGCCCCCTAGGGGTTGTGCACTGGCCTTAGTGCCCCTATTAGGCACCGGACCCCTGGCCCTATCTCCACCCTACCTCAGGCTCTGGCACTCCTAGCTTTCTCTGCCCTGCTCTGAGCCCTGAGTCCACTGGCCCTATCTCCACTCTGCTCAGGGCACTGCTAGGACCTCTGCCTCCCCAGTAGTCCCACCCAAACCACGGGACTAAACTGCAACAAAAGAGTAAGCCCACAATAACATAAACTATCCCTGGACTGGGTCCAACAATAAATCCCACCTCACTGGCTGTATCACAAGGCTTCCGCCTATCTGGGTTGTATCCCCTTTGAGCACTCAATCTTACTGGTAGTTCCAGGTAGCTCGTCTATCAACCATGCACTCCTCTGCAATTTTACCCAGCAGGAGCTCTTTACCCTGCCACCTGCAGGGCCAGATTCTTCACCCTGACTCAGGCCCTAGGTTTAAATGCTCCATAAACCAACCCCCCTTCCAGCCAGGTGGCTGCTCTGAGCTGGCCACAGGTGTGGCTCTTTACCCTGCTGGGCAGCTCATTGCTTAGGCAACAGCATTTCCTTGCTGCCTGCCTTCTCACAGTTCACTGCTATTTAGCTGCCTGCAGCTCTTTCCTTCTATGCTATCCAGATGCCTGCCCTGACACACACTGCTGTTCTGCAGCTCTTTCCTAAGTGAATTCCTTGTCCCAGGGGTGGCCTCTTCTGAGTGGCTACTATTCTGCTTGTTTGCTGGAAGCCAGCTCCCTACTATGCAGCCTGCTCCCAAGCTGCCAGCTCCTACACAGTCAGCTCAGCATTCTATAGCTTCCTTTTAAAGTAATAGAAGCCCCCTGGCTCCCTGTTACCCATCCACTAATTCTTGTAAGTAACATAGAAGTTCAGCAATATATGTTTCTTTTGTTCAGCCAAGTGAGTTACAAGGTCTGCACCTATTCTTTGCAAGACCCTTCCTGAAGGCCACATAACCTCAACTTTCTGTACTGCTATTGAGTTTAAATAGTTGGCACAATTTGGAAGACTCAGAGGTTTTGTTTACATACCTTTCAAATTTACTTTGTAGCTTTTGTGTTTATCATAGGTAAAAATTAATATAGGACACTGGCGATCAAATCCTGGATTTGTGTGTGTTTACACTTTGTGAAGTTTGGATTTGAGCCCAGATTTAAAACTTGTCACTCTGAGTAAACCAAACTGCTAGTCTCAATCAATCATTTGGTCAAAACTGGAAATTCAGAGACAGAACCAAAATTGACATGTTGGGCCTATCTCTATTGATCATTATGAATACCTCATCTGTTGCTGGATCTGCTAACCTTGCAAAAGTCTGGTTGTGCTAGTAGATTGTATTAGCTCAACAGGTTCAATTTACAGTCATGGATGCATGAAGATTGCCATTTATGCTACCTATATGAGAAAGGGGACTCATCCTTAAGGCAGATGTGATTCTGCTGCAACCGTCTATGTACACATGCTATTAATGTGATAATGCAGTATTTTACTGTGAAGTAATCCTTCCCTGGGAATACATCTACATGTGCACCCTGTTCGGAGCAAATCTGCTCCCAATGGGAGCAGCCCAGTACAGGGCTGCTCCTGCCCTGCTCTGCCCCCCTTGTAGTAGCCAGGGGGAGCTCTGCCAGCTGCAGAAACAGCTGTCTTCTGGCCCCATGCACATTGGGAGGGGTCCTGATGCGCACAGGGCTGGGATACAGCTGCTACTGGAGGTAGAAGAGCTCTCCCAGCCCTCTGCAGCTGCCAGTGAGCCCTGTGCCCAGTGGGTCTTCCCTATTCCAGCAGGGAGCTGGCTGGGAACTGTCCCACTTCTGGGGCACCTGCTGGCTAGCTGCCAGCTGGGCAGGGATTCCCCATCCAGTAGGGGGCTGGCCAGGAGCTGTCCCACTCCTGAGGCACCTGCCCGTGAGCTGGACAGGGATTTCCTGGGTAGGGTTTCCACAGGTGTGGGACAGTTATCCCTCTGTGGGACAGCTGCTAGTGAGCTCCCAGCTGAGCAGGGAAACAGAGAGCTCCCCAGTCCTAGCACTGCATGTTCCCAGCTCTTGTGTGAAGCCAGGTGCTACACAGTGCTGGGAAGGGGTGGGGAGGGAGGGGCAGGGGAGCAGAGAGTGACCCTGTCCCAGCACTAATTTGCTCCCATTCAGTGTCTACATGAGTGGTACTGCACAGTAACTACTGCACGGTTAATCTAGTACCTGTATTTACAGGCACTAGCTAACTGCTCAGTAGACTAATTTACTGTGCAGTAAACGCCATGCACATGTAGACAGTGACACTTTATTGCAGAGTACATTAATGTACTGCACAGTAAAGCGTCTTGTGTAGATGTGCCATTTGTGTTTAAACTTGATCTGGGGCCCCACAGGATTGCAATCACAATTTGCCTAAATAAGGACTCAGTACCTAAGGATCTCTGATTTGCTTTGGGATGGGAATAACACATATGGCATTTATTTTTATTTTTTAAACAAAAGACATTCCCAGTCTAAAAACTCCTCTCATGTTCAGATGTTTTGGTTGCTCTCTATGTGTGAAGATCTTAGCTGGGGCATCCACATTAGTTTTGAGTGCGAGTAACCACTTTCTTGTTTAGATAATGCCTGAATTTTTTTGACCTTCAGAAAAACTTATTTTCCAACCAGCATGATGTAGAAGAATGGAATCTAGAGTAGCTTGCTTTAGGTAAAATACTTCTATTTCTTATAAACAAGGACTTTCACAAGAAAGAATGAAAGAGCTAAAGCATACTATTTTATGCGATTGAAATTAGACATCTGAACTGAAGTTAGACATTGTGGCGGGCCAGTATGGGGCGCTCCTGTGTTGAGCCACCCACCTCACTGTGCCTGACCACCTTCCAAGCTCCCTGGGGGCACCTCGCGTCTGGCCGACCCCCTTCCTGAAGCACACCCACTAGCCTGGGGGTAACACTGCCACCACCCAGGGATGGGCTTGATTCTGGCTCTGCGCACCCTGGGAAACACAGGCCTAGTAGCCCTCGAGGGTACTTGATTCACTTCAAGAACTTGGGATGCTTCCCTCAGTTGGAAGCACAAGTAGTGGTCT